ATGTCTAATTTTAAACTTTGGTATTTTTCTCTCACTGATTTTCTGGTTTTAACCAGCTGGCGAGCTAACTCTTTATTCATGGCTTATATGCAAATGATAAACATCGAAGACTACAATTTTATTTATAGTTTAAAGGATAATGAAAGCATCAAATCCTTTTCTATAGCGTCCAGACTTCAAGGCACAATCTTTATCTATAAACAGGAAACCATATTTTTCTTTCCAACATTCTCCGCATAGGTCTTTAAATTGTTGAAAAGACATATCTACATTAACATGGTCATCGTGTGTTTTAGGTTGACCAAAAAGGCGTATTATACCAATTCCTAAAACAGGAGGATTTCTTTCTCTTATTCCCTTATTTGCTGTTTTAGGCACTCTCGGGAACATAGAAGGAGCTGCAGGAATAGCAAAAGCCTTGAATGATGCAAAAGCGGCCAAAGAAAAGTTGAAAGAAGATAAAACGTCACAATTTGGCAATGGAACGGGTTGCTGTTGGAAAAGGGTTATACCTACGACCGTATAGAAAAGGAATGGGGTTGTATCTAGCTCCATATAAAAAAACTTCCAGTAAAGCTACCTCGTCATACGTTAACTAACATATAATTAATAAAGTTCGCTAAAATATTACGTATCCTGAATTTTAGAGGAGTGTTTATGAAAGACAACCTCCATTAAAAATAAAAAGAAACGAGTGTGGTATTATGAACATGGATATTTCGTCAGGACTGGGAACTCACTGGACAGCATACGTAAAAAACAATAAGACGATTATATACTTTGACAGTTATGGAAATGTGAAGCCTCCAAATACACTGATAAAGTATTTTTATAGCGATGGTAGCAAAAATACAATCAAATATAATCACGATAAAGTGCAAAATGATAATTCTATTAGATGTGGGCACTTATGTTTTACAGTTTTTATATAGTAGGTACTGTTTTTAAATAAAGTTTTTATTATATTTATCTTTCGGGAAACTCGTCTATATTAAATTCTGAATTCAATCTTATCTATTTAGAAGAAGAATCGGAATATCTATCTAACTTTTTGACTTTCAATGTTATCCCAAACATCCATGAAACAAGCAACAAATTTTCTTATGGCAATCGAACAGTGACAATTCCTACAGGAGCATATGAAATAAACCAGTTAAATAATTATACTCAAAAGAACATTGATAAATCTGCTCAAATCAGTATAATACCTGACCGTAATACATCAACTGTTAGAATTGAAGCGAATGTCAACATTGATTTTAGTTATGATAAATGCATAGGTCGTCTCCTTGGGTTTAAAAAGAGAATTATTAAAGCTAATGTTACAAATGAATCCGACTTCCCCGTGCAGATAATTAAGGTTAATGCTTTATGTATAGATTGCAATTTTAGCAATAGGTTCATATTCGAATGGTCAACCTGTTCACATAATTCATCAGTTCTTTCCAACCGTCGCGTCGCGCCGGGATATAAATTAGGGGAATCACCCCTGAACATCTTGTATTTTTCTCTAAGCGCCAAGACAATCAACAACTTGACTGATTCTAGATCAAGACGGAAATTTAGTAAATTTTCGTGAAGAGACTATTAAGGAGAGAACGCATTAGGTGGTCGCGGTCCCGTCCCGTCGCGGTCCGTTCTGGGCTGAGCTGATCGCGGTCTTTTTTAGAAACGAACGCATTAGGCGTTCGCGGTCCCGTCCCGTCCCGTCGCATCGCGGTCCGTTCTGGGCTGACCTGATCGCGGTATTTATATTACAAAATCCGTCACATTTGACAATTGCACACAATCGCGCTCTTCTTTAAATAGTTGCAGTATTGTTTTAGTAGTGAAAATGACTTCTATGGAAGCGGTGTTTTTATCAGCGGGAAAAACATTTTTAGGGGGTGAAATACACTCTCAAAATTCGCCCCCAAAAACAGTTTTTCTTAAATATCTGGGGTTCTAAGAAATATTTTGGAAAGAAGCAAAGTGAAAATTACTTCTTATAAAAAACAAATGTTTCACAAGTGATTCCCTGTTTGGGGATTGCTACCCTTATTTTTTATTTCAGAAAAACTATAATTTTCAAACATTTTTTATATACATATAGGTACAAAATTTATATATATATATATGCTCAAAAAGAATTAAAAATATGATTGATGTAAACAAACTGACAAAATTAAATTGACCTGTTTGAGGGTTTTCGTTAAAATCTCTTTTTAGGAGGTGAACAACCCCCTAGTGCGAGAAATGTCTAGGTATACGATTAAAATTAACATTATAAAATAAAAAGTTTTTACTTTTTGTTTAATCATATGAATAATTTTTTCTATTAGTCTAAAACGGATTTAAACGGATGCAAACTACCCCCCATGTTCACCCCCAGAAACAGCATTTCCGTGATATCTCGGGTGCTAATCAATATTTTGAAGTCGAAACTACTTATAAAAAAAGTAGATGTTTCACAAGTGATTTCGTGTTGTAATCCTTATTTTTTATTTAGGAAAAAATGTATTTTTCAAACTAAATGGAAATTATTTCTATTGAACAGAACGAATGATTCACAAGCAATCTAGCCTGTAATTTGTTTTTTAGTGAAAATTTATGAAAATAAGAAATAAGTATAATTTTACCATCTACAAACCGGATGATGCAATCCTTAATGTTCAATGAACTGGAAATCATAGAGTATTATCTGTTTTTTTTTAAATAATTACTCTGTTATAAAAAATAACAAAGTAATTGATTTTCATTTTCATATCGATAACCAGTCCTGTGTGTACATATAGTAATACCTATTTGTTTGAATCAAAATTTTATTGTTTTTGGAAATTAAATATTTGAAAATATTGTTTTAATACCTACTTAAGAAAATGAGTTCTATGGAAGAGGTATTTCTATTGGCTCTTCTATTTAAAGAGGAAGAAAAGCGCCAAAGAAAAAAGCACGCAAGATTTTGGATTAATCCAATTAACAGAAGCAGAAAGTAGAGGCTGAATTTGAAACATTATTAAAAAAAAAAATTTATTGGACGAACAGCGAATTTTTCAGTACTTCCGTATGTCATCTAGAAAGTACAATAAGCTACTATTTAGACGTTGCATATCACCTGTAGAAAGGCTGGCGGTTTGTCTAAGGTAATTTCTTTTAAATTTCTTGTAAAGTCCGATTTATTTCGATTTTAAACGATTCATAGAATTAGCATGGTACGCGATCATCAAAAATTAGTATAAATATTTGTTTATAAAAGAATTTAAAAATATAAAATTTTATGATAAAAAGTAGTGCTTTTCCATATTTTAAAAATTTAGCTCTGGAATTCTAAATAAAAAAAATAAATTTTTATCTATCAGAATCAGAATAAAAGTTTACAGTGCAACTAAAGCTATATATGTAACGTACCAATTTTATGTAGGAGGAATGAAAAAAATAGAAGAACAAGAATAAAAACCTGGCTGAGAAATATACTATGGTACAAAATCGTCTCAATGACCTAGCAATGATGAGTATACACATAAAGTTTATTTTTGACAACCATGAAGATTTTATTAATAAAGTGGACGACTTTTCAAAAAATCGGAAAAGATTGTTTTACCTAATTTTCGTGAATTTTTATATTTTTTTAAATATTTATATATTTTTTTGTTTTTCTTGTATTAAAAAGGTTTTATTAAAAATATTTCTACAAAAAATTAATTCACTGTACCTATATCTACCTATAATTTATATTTCTCCCATGCTCTCTCTTGCCCCCCTAGCTCATTGGCTGGCGACGCCCTTGCTTCCGATATTCTTTGGAAAAGATCGGTAGAGAACGGGATGTGACCGCGAAGATCTCGGGAACGTCTAGTGCGTATGGATGCATAGTCCAATTAACTAAGCCTTTAAATCGAAATTTTGTCAACTTGGCTGAATTTTTGATATGAGTTAGTTTAAGGTATATTATAACAATAAGTGAGAGTAATTTTTTGTTCAACCCCCGGCCAAGGGTGGAAAAAGATAAAACAAAGGGCTTTTTCAAGATAACTCAAAAAGGGTAAGAGCTAGAAAAAAAAGTTTTTCATGAAAGTTGTAAAGCAGACAATTCTACATAAAAATGGCCTCTTAACTTTTTCTTGTACTATTACAATTAACAGAGTTAGGGAGGCTAGAAGTTAAGGGAAGATTTCAGAAATTTAA